GTCTTCTGCTTCTGTATCTACGACCAGGGAGGTATTTTTATGGTTTAATACGTCATAATCCTGGGTGGCTGTTTCATCCAGCAATGAGCGCTGCTCTCTAGTAGGTCACAACCTGTAACTTGCAAGGCTGGGACTGGCCATCTTGCTGGCTCCTTTGGGTCGCGAATTAACCTTCATTGATCAAACAAGTAACTCTATTATAAATGCCCTCCCGACTAGCATTTTGGTGCCATGTTTACCCGTCTCCCTGAGTTCCCTGAGCAGTTCCAGGCCCGCATAGGCTTGGATCTGAAGGCACAAGAAGTGCTAGGGGGTGCCACATACCCAGATTTGCCAAAGAGTAATAATGGCAAGTCTAAAGAATCGAGTACCCTCGTTAATGCCATCCTTCCCTGACATCCGAAATTAGGAGTTCTCCCTTTTTCCAGGGGTCAAGCTCACCGCAGAGCTCGGTCTCCACGGACCCGAGGACAGCCCTGCGCGCAGTCCGGAACAGCAGCCAGGGCAGCATCCTCGCCCGCTGGCGCCCGCCGCGCTGCTGACCACTTCCTCCTCCTTTCGTCGCCCCCTCCCGCCCCAGGCGCGCCGCTCCCGGCTCTCGAGCGCCCTCCAGCCAACGGCCGGCAAAACGCAGTAGTGCGGGAAGGCCGAACGCAGTAGTGCCGGAAGTCGTAATCGCTGACCTAACCGTGCCGCTTTCAATCATTTGAAAAGAAACTAGGTTTTATGCTTTCTTTTTTGTTTTTGCTTTTCTTTTCTTTTTTTAATGAAAAATAGTTTAAAAGTGGAAAGTAGAAAAAATGACAAAGCTTAAATATGAAGATTTAAAGTAAATAAACTGCAACTTATAACATGATTTTTCATACATTGGATTAATTTAAAGCAGACTACATGAATTTTTTCCTAATTTTTCTTAACTTAAATACCTGGTTTAGCTGAGGTCAGTATTAAAATAATCTCATAGTATTATCCCCCCCCCCAAGAATTGGTGATATCTGACTATATATGATCATAGCTTTGTCAGGGTTAGGTTCAACCTTGTAAAGTATAACAGTTCACGTTGCTACAATGACAAATTACTACAAATTTACTGGTTCTAAACACAAATTTATTATGTACAGTTCTGGAGATCAGTAGTCACACTTAGATAAAATCAATGTGTCCACAAGCCTGCATTCCTTTGGAAGACTCTAGGGAAGAACTTCCTGCCTTTTCTGTCTTCTAGTGGATGCCTCATTCCTTGGTTCTTGATCCTTCACCATCTTCAAAGCCAGCATCATAGGACCTTTAAATCTCTCTGATCCCTGCTTCTGTTGTCAAATCTCTTCTTCCTCTGACCTTCATGTCTCTCTCTTAGAAGGACCTTTACATTCTGACAATGACATAATGCAAGATAATCTCCCTCTTACAAGATACTTTAATAACATCTGTAAATTCTCTTTTACACTGTCACCGTTTCCAGGGATTAAAACATGGACATCTTTGGAGTAGGTGGGGACATTATTCAACCTATTACAAAAGTTTCTCATTACCTTAAGTTTATTCTCAATTTAGTTTCCAAGCATAATAAAAAGCTCTATTTTTCTGAAAATTGATTCATAATTTAAAGACAAGATATTAATTCTAAGTAACATTAAAATGTATGTCCAAGGAATTATTTCATTAAGCATGCCCTTTTATTCAGTTTTCAATAATTCAATAATTAATAAACCACATTTTTATATTCATGATTTCATTCACAATTATGTTTTTCCAAAACCATAGTCTGTGGAATTTATTTTGTGAACTAACTTTGAACTAAGATGTCCTCATACACTGTGGATGCATGTATTTGTAGCATCCCTAATGTGACTATTTCTCACAAACCACGGGTAGTGTGAACACGATATGGAAACAGTGTACTTGGCCTCAATGAGTCAATTTAATCTGATTTATGCTTTTGCAAGAGAAATATTACTAAACAATTCTTTTTCAGGGTCCATAAATAATTGATAAATATTTTTCTATATAATTTTTTTCTGAAAGATTAATATGCCCTATATGTACCACAGTCCAAACCTGGCTTATTTAAGAGTCCTTAGAGCAAAAAGACCTTGTCAAGAGAGGATTTTGATAATCTTCCTCCCTTACAAGTCTCAGTTATTCTTTCAGGTTTAAAGTGGGATTAAAGGGAGAGAAGTAGTTTTAAGTTCTCTAATGCTGAATTGTTATGAATCATTAATTCTCAAACTCATTTTTTTTGTCTTAATGTGTGCAAGTGAAAGGCTATTGAAATGGAAGGAATTTTTAAGAGATTTGGGTTTTTTCCCTTTTTTCCCCCTAAATTTACTCAAGCCCCTTAGAACAAATAAAATTAAGAAGGTGACTTTTTCAAAAAAATATTTACCAAAACTTAAGGTGAACATGTATTGACTCATCATTTCCACTACTAATAGCTTATCTAGTGAAAACATTTTCACAAGTAGGCAAAGACACATGTACACAAGCAAGGGACTGATTCAAATAAAATGATACACCCATGCACTAGAGTCCTAAGCAATTAGTCAAAAGAATGAGGCTAATGTAGAATTCTGTCCAATGCATACTGTCAAGTGAAAAAAAAAATCAAGTTGTAGAACAGATGTAGACTGTAATCTGGATGTATATTCTCTTTCCACAAAAGGTTGCCATAGAAAAATATGGTACAAATATATATTGTAAACACAAAGAAAGCTTTTGAAACTATACAGAACATAGTACAGAAGAAAGGAAATATATTACCTCTTAAGAGAGGAAATGGGAGTATAGGAAGGAAAAGATGCAGAACTTTATACTTAAGTTAAAATAGCATGTATTCTTTTTGCAATAAAGAACGTGCTGGGTGTGGTGGTACATACCTATAATCCCAGCAATTTGGGACACTGAGGCAGGAAGATTGCAAGTCCAAGGCCAGCCTGCGCAACTTAGAAGGACCCTATCTCAAAATAAAAAATTAAAAGGACAGGGGATATAGTTCAGTAGGGTGCCCCTGGGTTCCATCTCCCTTGAGGAGACAGAGAGAGAGAGATGGCCTCTAACTTAGAAAGTATTTCATGCTGCAGTCTGGCTGGGCATAATTCAGGAGCCACTTGTCAAAAGAAACAAACTTTATTTTTAGAACCACACACACCAAAGAAACAGCTCCTCAGGAAAAACCTTTAGAGCCCAACTGCCACCACCGGCTTCCCACAAGCCTCTCAACCTCCCCCACTCCTCCTGCTCTTGAAGCCCATTTGCTGGGTCGTGTGGGCGGAGCCAAAAAAAAGTCCCCCAGTGAGCATCTCCATGGTCTGAAAGGGAGGGAAAACAGCCCAATGAGCATCATGGCAGAGGAGCCAATCAGTTGGCAGCTAGAAGTTGCTGGGGCTGCTGTGAGCCAATCATCAGCTGGCAGCTGGAAGTTTGCTGGCAGCTGGAAGTTTGCTGGGGCCCCTTCAGCTGTGGCTCTCAACAATTTCACACATTTACAGACAGAACAAAAATGGTGAAACTAAGATGTTTAGCATTATTCAAAAAATACACATGACATGTAATCCCAGATACTCAGAAGACTGAGGCAGGATTTCAAGGTTGAGGCCAGCCTGGGGAACTCAGTGGTACCCTATCTCAAAATAAAAGTGCTGGGGACACAGATCAGTGACAGAGCACCCCTGTGTTCTATCCTCAGTACTGCAAAAATACAAAATAATAATAATACACTGCTGATATTAAGTGACTAGTATTTTTATTTGACCTTTTGACATGTCATTGTAATAGTACTAAAAATACACCTTTACAAAGGTGTATTTTTAGTACTATTTACAAATGTAGCATTTACAAATGATTTCTTTGAGGAATCCACAAAATAGTGAATTTTACTTCAATTAAATGAAAAGATATATAATTTAAAGAACATCAGAAATAAAACTAATGCAGATAATTTTTAAATCTTGCCAAGTTGCATGGAGGTTGCAGTCTCTGAAGGTCATGCTAATGGTACATCTGAAAATCAAGAAAGCTTCCAAATTTTATTTCAAGAAAAATTTAAGAATTATATGATGGTTTACGTGGTTCCTAAATTTCTTTTTCTTAGGAAGAGAACCTAAATTTTCATATTCTAATTGTATTCCTTTTTTACTATAAATTGGCTCCAACTGATACAGAAAAAAATTGCAATGAAATTTAGGATGCAGATTATTTAGATTTGCTCAAATTTGCACGTGTTTTTTTTTCTATGTTTTAGGTCGAACCCAATTTCAAAAAATGAAAATATTGATTTATGAAGTAGACAGTTTTGCTTCAAAATTACACCACAACACAACCTCTTTCTTATTTGGAAAACAGCCACCTCTTTTGCCAAGTTTTCACATGGAAATGAGAAAAAATAGAGTTTTAAAGTAAAATCATACTTTTGTGGCCTAACTCTGTGGTATTTTAAAATTTCTAACCTCAAGGGCTGGGGTTGTGGCTCAGTATTAGAGCGCTTAGCATGTGCTCTACCACTGATCCCCGGCACCACATAAAAATAAATAAATAAAATAAAGGTATTGTGTTAAAAAAAAAATTCTAACCCCAAATTATCCATTAGTCCCCACCTGTCCTTGTGAAAGGCGATTTCTATAGCCTATCAACCAGTGTTAACTTTTGCAATATCTATTAAACATGCAAGATGAGGACCACTTTAATAGATAATCCAGCTTTGAAGAAAAGTATAGGTGTAGGTCAAGAAAGGAAGAACACAGGTTCCAGTACAGTCATTTAAAAAAAAAATCGTAAAATGATATATGATGAATGCCACCTTTACAGTTCAAAGAAGGGTGATGGAGGGAAGTCAGGGACTGTCCCAAAAGGCGACCAGCAAATAAGGTACTCGGGTGGGAAAGTCCTGCGTTACTCCCTCCCAGCCCGTCTCCTGTCCAAGCAGCTCTGCGGAGGTACTGAACGCAGGCGCGACCCGAGCCGGCCCGCCCCTCCACCTCGCTCGTCCTTTCGAACCCCACCCCTCGGGAGGGGCAACTCGGACGCCAGGCTCCGCCTCTGCCGGCTCTCAGTGGCCGCGCAGGCGCAATCACTCCTGGTTGTACTGCTGCGGCCCGGCCGGGCGGGGTAAGTTGAAGAGACAGCTTGGGGTCGCCACATCTTCTCTGTCTTCGCTTAGGCAACTCAGGCCGGCGGTGGGTGGCGGGTGAGCTGGAAGACAGGTTCCCCATGTCCACTCTCTTTCCCGATTCCCGGGGTCCTTGGACGGTCACTGTGGGCCGTGTGAGCGCAGCCTGGCCCGCTCCGTGTCTGGGCGGCGGCAGGAGGAGCCTGGGGTCGGGGCGCGAGAGGGGCCCGCTTCCATGCTTCCTGGTGACCCCGGCGTGTGGCGGCCTTACACCCTTTCGTCCTCCCTGCAGCGGTCTCTCACAGTAGTTTCTCTTGACTCACTTGGGGTGCGTTTATTAGTGACTGGAGGAAGCGAGTCGAACCACGGCTTTCTGGCAACATCGTGCATCAGGGGCTCTGGAGTCTCGCTGCCTGGATCCACATCTCTATCCTCTAGTTACCGGCTCTGCGACTTCAGCAAGTCAATTAACTCTCTCAAGTGTGGAATGGAGAAAATAATAGATCGTATCTCAAAGTAGTTGTGAGGATTAAGTAGGTTAAATATGAAATGTTTAGGATTGAGCGTACTACACTACAAATTGTCTTCTTCGTTCATCTTTTTGAGCCTGGGTCTCAAGGGAAATTGTGTCTCATTCTTTTTACACTCACTCTGGAAAATAACAACTCAAAAATATGTGATTTTTTTTTTTTAACAATATAGGCTTTCGTTTGCATAGACTGTTTAAAAACAAAACTTTCCAAATTGTAACAGGGGTTCTCTTGATGTTTTTCTTTTCCCCTAAACCTTCTGCCTGATCTTCTTTCCCCTAAACCTTCTTCCAGATCTCCTTTGCTCTAACCTTCTCCCTGATATTTTCCCTAAACTTCTTTTCCCTGATATCTTCTCCCTAATATCATTTTCCTTGAGTCACCTCTTTAAAAAACCCCTGTTCCCCATGAAGGGTAGAATCACAGCCTTTGGGACAGACTGGAGTCCTCAGTGTTTCTTCTTTGCTGGCAAAGCAATAAACCTTTTTCCTTTTTCTCAAGATCTTGTCTTCCTTGTTGGATTAGTGTGGGGGGGCAAGGACTGAACTTTAGCTGCATATCCTGTGTTAAAGAAAAGTTAGGTTATGCTGAAGTTGAAAACTGTAAAGTTTGATGTTTGGAAAACTACATTAGAAAAATGGCCAGAACCTATTTGTGCTGAAGAGTTAACAAAACAGACCTGAGACTGCTATTCTTCCAAGGTCCTGCTTGCAATGTTGGCTCTTGTTTGGCATCTGGGAACTTTGATTTAGTAGTGTTCAAACCTGAGTACAATTAATTTATCCTGAACACTGTGTTTCATGCCCAAATTATCAGTTTCTGTAAAAATCTTGTGCTCCAAGTCTCTAATGGCCTTTCTGGGTGGAAGCATTGGATACATGTTGCTGCATATTCCTTGTTGGGGAAAGAATGCTCTGTTTCCTCTCTCCAGGGAGGGGGAGAACATAAGGAAGTCTATTTGTGATTCCTCCAGACCCCACCTGTGTCTTTTTCCATTATGATCAGATTGTATATTCATATAGCATGCTATGGTGAAAGTCAGCCCTGAATAGAATATGCTGAGTCCTGTGTATCCTTCTGTCAAGTCTCCAAATATGGGAGGAGAAGGTCTTGGAGATTGCCAATTTTGATGATAGAAAGTATTAAACTCTTATAATTGGATTTTAATTGTGTCTTTTTTCATTTTTATTTATTGCAAAACAGTATTGAATCCAGGGATGCTCTACCACTAAACTACATCCCCAGCCCTTTAAATCAAAATTGGAAAAGAAACTACATAGAATTGCTATATTGTGGGTTACTGTACAACATGATTCTCTATGTTTACACATATTACATATGTCAGAAAAATAATGCAGATATTCTTTCAGTTGCTAACAAGTTTGAATCAGTGTTTTTTTTTTTTTTGTTGTTGTTTTAAGTTACATGTTTTTACAAATTCTAGGTCAAATGCCTGATTCTGTGTATTATTTTGCCAGATTATCTATACGTTAATGCTCTTTTTTTTTAATCAAGAGTTTATCTGTAATATTGGGAAAAAATAACAACCATTTTCATGGGCCATTTCCCCCTAGATTCTGTTAGTAATATCTGTCTCTTCAGGTAATCAAATTAAAACTGATGGAGGTAGGCTGAGGTTGTGGCTTAGCGGTAGAGCGCTTGCCTAGCACGTGCGAGGCGCTGGGTTCGATCTTCAGCACCACATAAAAGTAAAAACAGATAAAAATAAAGGTATTAAAAAATTGATGAAGGTAGGTTTGTAAATTTCGGGGCAGAAAGATGAGAATTGCCATCTGATTGTGTCTCTTTGACCTCAATAAAGTTGAAGACTAGGAAGTTTTTGCTAAGTGAGTGAAGAGGTGAAGGAGTTGAAGGAAGGCTTAAGGATAGTGAAAAAGGTTTGAAATGTTTGTGTGGAGAAGATATAAATTAATTAAAATGTGTAGTGGATAATGTTAGACTACTTCTGAAACTTTCTCCAGACATGGATAAAATGATTAATTGGATTCATCTAGGATTGGATTCTGCCAGAGGGGTGATATTGTAGTGATTAAAGCTGCGCACAAATATACTGGTTCACCTCTTTCTTGGTACCTGGTAGGGTTTGCATGCCCCCACCCATTCTTTTCCAGTTAAAGTTCAATGTAGCCAGGTAACTTGTTTTGGTCAGTGAAATATGAGCAGATGTGATGTATAGTTTCAGGTGGAGCTTTAAGAACCAGCTCTGCATTTGCAACTTCCACCTTTTCTGTGTCTGTAGGGATTTTGATAGAAAGCATTTTCTAAGATGCTGTCTCTTTAGTGTGGACACTAAAGGAGAATTGGAGTGACTAATCAAGCAAGTTGGAAGAACTGGGAAATTGTGATCAGAGAAGGGAAAATTAGGAAATTTGGAAGGTGGAACTGAAAGCAGATGAGGAATGTTAGAGAAGGTACTTAGAGATGAGTTGGTCAAGGAACTCAAGGACTATTTTTCTGTGACCCTGAATAAAGCCCTTAATTTGTTGCAACTTGATTCAATAATGATGATTCTTTATCTAAAGAAATGGCCTTTAGCTGGGGAAGTTGAGCATATGGTCAACAGGCATGAGGCCTGGGGTTCTGTTTCTAGCACTGCCCAAATAAATAAATAAATAAACAAACAAACAAACAATGTCCACTAAATTATAAACTTGAAATCAATCTCTCCCCCCCCCCTCTCTCTGTATCAAGGATTGGACTCAGGGGCACTCCACCACTGAGCCACATCCCCAGCACTATTTTGTATTTTATTTAGAGACTGGGTCTCACTGAGTTGTTTAGGGCCTTGCTAAACTGCTGAGGCTGGCTTTGAACTTGCAATCCTCCTGTCTCAGCCTCCTGAGCTGCTGGGATTTCAGGCATGTGCTGCTATGCCTGGCTGAAGGCTCTCTTTCTGAAACATTAAATGATAATATTCGGAGCTAGGTGCAGTGGCATAGCCCTGTAATCCCAGTAATTTGGGATACTGAAGCAGGAGGATTGCCAAGTTTGAGGCCAGACTCAGCAACTTAGTGAAACCCTAAATAATTTAGTAAGACCCTGTCTCTAAATTAAAAAAAAATATGGGGGGTGGGGAATGGGGATATGACTCAATGGTTAAGCCCCTCTTGGGTTCAAGCCCCAGTACAAAAAAAAAAAAAATGTTTCCACATGGAAGTGATACATGCTACTTAATGCAGCCCAACCTGTGTAATTTAGGGAGACCCAGTCTCAAAATATATAAGCTGGTGAAATAGCTCAGTGGTAGAGCACCCCTGAGTTCAATACCCAGTTTTGCAATAAATAAACAAATATGAATGAGAATAAATATTCAGGAGTTAGTATTGAATCGAAAGATCCATTACTTTGATTATTAAAAAGTAACCACGAAAATTGTAATGTAGCTTAGTCACCTAGCAGGACAGTATTAGGTAGGTTTTAGGCTGACTACTCTAAAAGAGACTCCAAAATATAAAATTAAATAAAATAACTTTCATCTAAAATCTTTAGAATTAACTGAGTTTTTAAGAAATATAAGTGATAGGGATAAAGAATACCATGAAGAAAGAGACAAATTCAGTGTGGGACATTATATTATATAACTTTGCCACTGAAAAAGTGTTGTGTGGGCCCCCAGTAATGGCTTCAGTTTGGAACTTGTTAGGCAAAAATCTTAGGTCTTGTGCTAGACTCATTAAATCAGAATCCACATTTTAATAAGATTTGCAAGGTGACTTAAGTGCACTGCCACTATCTTTTTAAAAAGCCAGGTTCCTCGGCAAGTAAAAGGTTGGAAGAACTATTCTACATTAAAAGATAACAGGAAAAAAAAGTATAAGAACACTAAAGAAACATAAGTAATATAAAGTACAAGCCTTGATTGAAACCTTATTTAAAAAGCCAATTATAGAAAACACTTTTGGGTCAACTAAGGAAATTAGACTAGGATAGAAAATGATATTAGAGAAGTGTTAATTTTCTTAGATATGATAATGATCTAGTTATATAGGAGTTTTTTTTTAATTCTTCAGTGATACATGCTTAAGTATTTAGGGATGAATTTTCATTATCTGTGCAACTTATTTTCAAATATTTCAGCAAAAAAAGAAATATGCTGCCAGGTGCAGTGGCTCATGCCTGTAATCCCAGTGGCTTGGGAGGTAGAGGTAGGAGGATAGATAAGTAAGTTCAAAGCCAGCCTCAGCAACTTAGCAAGGCTCTAAGCAACTCAGTGAGATCCTGTCTCTAAACGAAATACAAAAAAGGGCTAGGGATATGGCTCAGTGGTTAAGTGCCTCTGGGTTCCATCCCTGGTACACTCATATATGTCTCTATATAATTGATTTTTCAGTGAAAGAAATATAGCAAAATGTTAATAGATGTGACATCTAGATAGTATATGAGTATTCATTATACTACTTTTTTTTTTTAGTTGTAGTTGGGCATAATACCTTTATATATTTAAAAAAAAATTTTTTTTTTTTTAATGTGCTGAGGATTGAACCCAAAGCCTCCCACATGCTAGGCAAGCGTTATACTCCTGAGCTACAACCCCGGCCCTCTGCTCTTTTAACTTTATAGATGTTTAAAATTTTTCATAAGTTTGAGAAAAAATGTGGTTGCTTAAAAAGATAGAAATTTATTTATTTTTCTCAGTAATCAAGCTGTAGATAGTATAGCACAGGTAGGGGACTTTGCTTGGCTTATATCTTCTAACCCTAGTCCAGTGTGATATTCCAGTGGGGACACACAAATGTTTAGTCTCCTACTATCTCCTTGCCATAAGGATGAGAGAAAGGACAAGAGGAGGACACATTGTCCAGAAGCAGCACTTATTTAACTTGCTGATTAAAACTTTTTTTTTTCCCCATTCACCTAGATATATCTGGGTATATGTCTTAGTTAAGTCTGCTATAAAGTACTGTAGGCTAGGTGACTGAATTTTTGTTTTATTTATTTTGGTACTGGGGATTCAACCCAAGGGTGCTTTACCACTGAGCTATATCCCCAGTCCTTTTTAAATTTTTTTATTATGAGATGGGGTCTTGCTGAATTTTTGAGGGGTTTTCTAAATTGCTGAGACTGACATCAAACTTGCAATCCTCCTGACTCAGCCTCCCAAGGAACTGGGATAATAGATGTGCCTACTGCACATGGTGTCTAGGTACCTTAAACCACAAACATTTCTCAGTACTGAAGGCTGGGAAGTTCAAGATCAAGGTGCTGGCAGATCTGTTGTTAGCAAGGCAATTTAGACCCCTGTTAAACAGACCTATTTGTCTTGGCCATGCTCTCTTTGTGTCTTGACAGATACTAGCCTAGCTTTCTGGCTGCTTTTTATAAGATCAGGAATCTCATTTGTGAGGGCTATACCCTTATGACCTCGTTAACCTCCCAAAGCTTTCATCTTCAAGTATTCTCACATTATCGATTAAATTTCAACAAATGAATATGGCTTGGAGAGAGGAGGACACACAAATGTTTAGTCTATAACAAGGTACTTGGTTAAAGTCAAATGGAATGTAACATTCAAACATTGTCTGTGTTTTTGTGGGTGTGGGCATGGTATTGGGGATCCAATACCGGGGCTTCATGCATGCTAGGTAAGTACCCTACCATGGAGCTATATCCCTAGCCCATTTTTAAAAATTTGAGACAAGGTCTCACTAAGTTGCTGAGACTGGCCTTGAACTTTAGATCCTCTTGCCTCAACCTCCCTAGTAGCTGGGATTTCAGGTATGTGACACTGTGCTCGACATGTATATTAATTTGAATAAAGATTTATTTTTTATATAGTGTTTCCATTTTTTTCCTAAACCAATTAAAATTGAAGCCATTGCAGTTTTCATATGTGTGAAATAAAATATATAAAATTTCAGTTTTGAAGATTAAAGTATATTCATTTTTGTTCCTTAAATCTTTTCAGTAATAACAGATGCGGGTAAAAGATCCATCCAAAGTTTTATCTGAGAAAGGCAAAAGAAATAAAAGGCCTTCGATACCTCATGATGAAGATTCTTCAGATGACATTGCTGGTAAATTTATGATATCTAGCAGAAAGAAGTAACAATGCATATTTTCTAGGAGAAAAGAAGTAACAATGCATATTTTTAATTGATGATCCATTACTGTTTATTTTCACTGTTTCTGTATAAAGTTGAGGATTGTCTAATTTCAAGCTCTGATTGTTTTTTCTTGTTGTTTTTTTGTGGTGCTGGGGATTGAACCCAGAGCCTTGTGCATGTGAGGCAAGCACTCTATCAACTGATCTATATCCCCAATCCCCTGATTGGATTTTTATTGGGATTTTTGTTTAGATTATAAAGTAAATAAGAATTAGTGCTTTCTTTTTTTTTGGGGGGGGGTTCCTTTTTTATAGTCTGTTAAAATCAAGTCTCCAAGCCAATAGAGAATGGGCAGATAGTGACCCTTTGGATCTGTTGACTTTACAACTTGCTTTTCTCTGAAGCCTCATACCTTATGTTTTGGTGTCTGAGGGTTTTCTTCATTTCCTCGAAGGTTATCTCTCCATTTATAAATAAGTTTTATCATGTCCATTTTAAATGTTAGTGCTTCAAGATGGCTAGCTTGCAGGGCTGTCGTTAGAGCTCAGTAGTAGAGCGCTTGCCTCATGTGAGACCCTGGGCTTGATCCTCAGCGCCAAGTAAAAATAAATAAATAAAAATAAAGATATTGTGTCCATCTACAACTAAAAGAAAAAAAAGATGGCTAGCTTGCTATAGTAAAGGAAGTCTGAATTTTTTAAAAAAAAATTTTTAATAACTTTATTTATTTACTTTTTATGTGGTGCTAAGGATCGACCCCAGGGCCTCACCCCTGCTAGGCAAGTGCTACAGCCCCAGCCCCTGAATTGTGTTTTTTTTTTTTTTTAATATTTATTTTTTAGTTCTCGGCGGACACAACATCTTTGTTGGTATGTGGTGCTGAGGATCGAACCTGGGCCGCACGCATGCCAGGCGAGCGCGCTACATCCCCAGCCCTGAATTGTTTTTTTTTATTATTGTTGTTGCTGTTGTTTGTGGTGCTTGGGGTGGAGCCCAGAACCTCAGGTATGCTGGGCAAGCACTCTAGCACTGAGCTATACCCCTTGCTCCTGATTATTATTACATTAGTTCTCTTTTGCTGGTTTTCCACAGTTATCACTTTCTTAGATTCTCTAAAATTCTTTAAAATTCTTATTTCCTTTTCATTCTGCTTGCTGTTTTCATTTTTTCCCTTTATTGTCTGCCACAGTGTTTGTTTTATCTTATGTTCTTTTTAGTTTAGCCTTCATTTTTATGGTTTCATTTGTTTTTAATTCTACTTCTTTCTTGAACTGTGCCAGTCCCTTCATATTATTTTGCCATCTTTTTCTAGAGTGGTTGTTTCTATTTTGTTTTTTATTTCATGGCAGCAATTGCTTTGCTGTTCGTTTTTCCCTTTTTTCTTTTCCCTTATCATAGAATTTGTAGCTTTGATTTCTCTTCGATTACTCATTCTTTGATGTAGGATTGCTTTTCTTAGATGAGCTAGTTTTAGAATATTTTTATAAGAAAGTGGTGTGATTTGGATGAATGTTTAATAAGGGACCCATGCATGTTAATCTTGTGGTCCCCAGGGTGGCACTCTTTGGAGGTAGCATGCAGTGGAAAGTTCTTAAGTAATTAGTGACATGCTCTAGGGGCTGTGGGTCCCTAGCCCATCTTCTTTATTCTTGCTTCTTGTCTCAAGAGGTAAGTAGTTTGCTCTGCTACATGCTTTCACCATGTTGTTTCCAACTCCTGTCCAGAGGCCCAAAGCAGTGAAGCCACTTACTTTCGGATTGGAACTTCCAGAACCATGAGCAAAAGTAAACCTTTTATCATTATAAGTTAATTAATTTGTCATTATAAGTTAATTCTCTCAGGTATTTGACTAATACAGGGATGAGAGCTTTGTTGAGTCCTATCTAGTTTTGACTTTAAGATCATATCATAGCCTTTACTTTTTTGTGACTAAGAGGGTTATGCAATCCTAGTTTTTTTCAGAACTAAAATACCTCTTCTCCCTAACTGCCATAGAGACAATACAATTTCCTGAAAATATGTCTTGCTTTCTTTTTTTTCACTTAATGAATGAGAAATTCCTTTCTTTTCAAAACAAAATTGGATATGGGGAGCTCCTGCCACTGTTGTTAATGCATAGCTATTTAGATTTTGCTATGTATCTAAGAAGCATATGTTTATGAAATCTACAGTTGCATTATTCTCTCTGCTTTCTTCTATGTGCACTTTCTACATCTTTGAGATGTGAGCCCTGCCACTTAATTCATGACTTGGGACTTCAGCTATCTCCTGTTTTCTTCCTATTCTTACTGCCTTTTGAAAATTTCTGGGTGAAAAAGAGAGAAGTGTTCATTTTTATGATAGCATTTTCAAATTTGAAAAATTTCTTATAAATTTTTTCTTAATATTTTAAATTGAAAACAAAGATTTCAGTTATTGTTTTTGATTTGTTTAATGTGAAAACACTTAGACTTTAATCTAATTTTATATTCATGGATCCCTAAGGATTTATTTTTCATTATACAATGAAACTAATTATAATAAACTGAAGAAATTTACTTATTAAAATAAAGGAATTTTTTTACTTATTCTTCCCAGAAGAGATAGTGAATACTGTTTAAACAGCAGTTACTTACTATAGGAAGATTTTAGGCTGGAAAATTCAATGCTGGAAATGGAACCCAGGCCTTGCACATGACAAGCACTCTATATACTGAGCTATATCCCAGCCCCTGGTTGAGATCTTTAAAAGCTAATAGATTTAATTTAGGTCCTGGAAACTTTTTGAGTTCACTTATCTCCGAGATTCTTAACAGTTTTAATTTTAAAAGTCTGAATAGTACAATCAGATAATGTTTAAATTGTACCCTGGGTGGATCCCATTTTAGAGATTATGTAGAAAGGTATGTAGAATGGTTTTCCCCTTAGAATTTTGAAATATAAAGTTCAAACAAAGCAATGACATTTGGTAAATCATTTTTAGATCCTTTACATGCTGCTTATTCATCAATCTTCCCCAGAATTATTCTTTCCTTGGTGGCATGGGTGTTTTTGAGAGACACAACTGACTTCAGAATTACTTCTTTTATATTTGTTTGTATAGCTTGCTATTGATATAAAATTAGAATTTTTAATGTTTCATTCATATTTATATATGATTTTTGTGATTATATTTTATTACAAATTACTTATAATATTCTTAGTCTTCAGGATGAAAGAGAATTAATGCATAGTTCCACTAACTTACTTGTTTCTAGTTAATTAGCAGGATAAAAAAAAAAAAAGACTGCTTTGCATTTAGAAAGTGAAATGCCCATACTTCTCTTTTTCCTTTTTCAGTTACTTATTCTTTCTTTTTTTGATTTTGGTAGATAGTTATAGTTTTGATGTATGAATATCTGAGGTAGAGTGTTCAGGTATTTGAGAGAAATGGAGTGTAACTGTGCCCCTGGGAGAAGAACAGTTACTTGAGGACTTAAAAATGTATTTGCCTAGGGGCTTGTGGCTCAGTGGTAAAGAGCTTGCCTAGGATGTGTGAGGCATCTCCTATAAATAAATAAAATAAAGGTCCATTGAAAACTAAAAAAAATATATTTGCCTAGTTTTGGCCAAAATATCTCCAAACAGAGCACACAGTAGAAACTGTTATAAAGGATCATTTGAGAGCAAACAAAATAATTTGTTATTTGAAAATATTCATTAAGGAGAATCCTGAGAACTCTGGATTCTTTAAATTTTACCATTGTTCCTCTTTCTTCTTTTTCCCAATATGATGAAAATTGCAACACAGCAAAGCTAATGTATGTAAAATGATTTTATATATGTATTCCCTCCCCCGCTTTTTTTAAATACTAGGGATCATCCTGGGCTTTGTGTAGCTAGGCAAACTTGCTCTACCACTAAACTATATCCCCAACCCTCTTTTTGGTGCTAGAAATTGAGTTCAGGGTCCTGTACATGCTAAGCTGCCACCAAGCTACACGTCTAACCCCTGTATGTGTATCTTAATGGATAGAAAATAGTAAAAAATGCTTGACACATAGTAGCCATTCAATAAATAATCTCCTTAACTTTGTTTTTATTTTTTGACTCATTTTAAATTTGTAGGAAGATACAAAGAAACACAGTGTTTTAATCAGCTGTTTTCCCACTGTGACTAAAAGACCCATCCAGAACAATTATAGAGGAGGAAAAGTTTATTTGGGGGAAAAGTTTGTTTGGGGGCTCATGGTTTCAGAGGTCTCAGTCGATAGCTCCATTCCTTGGGGCTGGAGATGAGGCAGAACAACATGGTGGAAGAGTGTGGCAAAGGGAAACAGTTCACATGATGATCAGGAATCAGAAGGAAAGGTCCTCACTTGCCAAATACAAATATACAAAAGCCCCACTTACTTCAGCTCCACCCCATGTGCCTTCAGTCACCACGAAGATGATGGGATTAACTTAATCCCGTCAGATGGTTGATTCACTGAGTTAAGATTTTTGTAAACCATTCATTTCTTCTCTTAAACCTTACATGGTCTCACATGTGAGCTTTTGGGGGATACCTCACATCCAAACCATAACATTCAGTGAGGTCCCATTCATCTGTCACTCAGCCTTCCCTGATGTTAGCATCTTACATTGATTTAGTACAGTATCAAAACCAGTTGTATAATCCTTAGTTTATTCAGATTTTACCAGATGATGATGATGATGATGATGATGATGATGATGATGATGTGTGTGTGTGTGTGTCTGCAGTTTTATTACATGTGGAGCTTTGCATATTTCAAGGAATTTGACTGTACCACTCTCACCACCACTCTGTGTGTTACCCATTTATATCCACACCCTTCTTTGTTCATATTCCCTAATTTGTTCAACTCCCTAATTATTAATTCACAGATGTTATATAAATGGATTTGTGTAACATGTATCCTTCTGATTTATTTCATTTTTTAATCCCTTTGCTTTTTAGTTAACAGCATTTTAATGCTGTGGACTTTTCCTTCCTAATAATAGCAGTAGTATAGCCAAGAAAAAAAAAAGTTCACATTTTGTTTCATCTTGTTCAGGAGGTTTAACTTGCCAACATGTAAGTCATGCTGTTAGTGTGAATCATGTGAAGAGAGCAGTAGCTGAGAATCTATGGTCAGTTTGTTCAGAATGTTTAAAGGAAAGAAGATTCTATGAAGGACAGCCAGTACTTTCTTCAGATACTTGGTTGTGCCTCAAGTGTGGTTTTCAGGTAAGAAAAGTATTATTTATAGTGAGTATGTTTTATACCTTTCCTTAAATGCTTACTGTGAGTGGGACATCGTCATGCCTAGGACTTAAGTTTATCTCATTCTTAGATTGAAACTTTCCAAAAATAAACTTGGAAATGTTTTAGGTAAAGTAAGATATATGAAATGTTCAGAAAGTAATTGTGTCGTTCATAAATATTTGAAAAGGGAATCTCACTCACTTGTGATAGTTCTTATTTCTGGACCTTTTAATCCTTTAACCTTTTGTTTTTACTTAGGAAAGGGATCCAACTTTTTAGATTCATTTTCCACTCTCAAAGATTATTCGGCTTTTTTAAAAAAAGTTTAGATAACTTGAGTATATCTAGAAGTTTAGAAGTTATTGTTATCTATAATAAAAGAATATTCTAATTAAATTAAAAATGTGTACTTAGGGGGGAAAAAAAAGAGCAATCTCTATTATCTCAAATAGAAGTCCAGAAGTTGGGCCCCTTCAGGGTTAGTTATTTCAAGAGAAAAAAATAGTAAAGGCTGAGGCTTCTATTTTTCTGCTGGGCTGTATCTAATTTTACAGTTTCAAGATGACTGAAGATGCTTTAGGCATTATGTATCACAGAAATTGCCAAAGCTCATAAAGAGGGGGAAAGAATATATCCCTTACATTTTTTCTTTTTTTTTTTTTGGTACCAGGGATTGAACCCAGGGGCACTTTGCAACTGAGTCACATCCCAGCCCTTTTTATATTTTATTTTGAGAGAGGTCTCACTGAATTGCTTTGGGCCTTGCTATGTTGCTAAGGCTGTCTTTGAACTTGTGATCCTCCTTGCCTCAGCCTCCTAGCCACCGCACCAAGCCTATCCCTTTCCTTTTAAACATATGTTCCCCAGAAATATCCATCAGACTTGACTCTCTCTCAAGTTATGTTAGCAAGAATTATAGTATATCATTTCTTTACTTAACTAAGTGGAGGAAATTATTATTTTTGGTCTGTGTCTCATTAGTTCACAGAGAGGCTGCAGTGGAAATGTATATAGGAGTAGGGAATATATTTGGGAAGGGGCACTACTGACCTTCCAGGATGATCTGCATCCCACACTATGCAAGACAATAAATAAATTTCTAAATGATAGGGAAATTAACTTTGCTTATGATTGTTTTAGGCAAATACTATATCATGAAGAGTAAATTAGTCTCTACAAAAATTAAATTTAATAAGAATCTGTATTGCTTTCTGAAACAGTTCCCTTTTGCTTGGGAGTTAAGACAGTTTTTTTGTATTTTCGAGTACAGGTTAAGTTTTGACTAATTCAAAACAAACTGTGTAAATCATACAAATAGTATTCTTTCATTTTCAGGGATGTGGTCAAAATTCAGAAAGCCAGCACTCACTGAAGCATTTCAAGAGTTTCAGAGCAGAGTCCCATTGTATTATAATTAGTCTGAGCACATGGATTATATGGTAAGTTAAATTTTGTTAGTACTGGTGTAAACAAACCAAAAACCAAGATGTTTTTCTTTGAGCTTTATAAGGTAACATAAAGATGTAATACCCATATATGCTATTTAAACCTGAACACAGTCTATAGAAGTTTTTGCTTTTGGGGGAAAGGCCTAGGAGTTGAACCCAGGGCCTTGATCATGCTAGGCAAGTGCTCTACCACTGAGCTACCTCCCCAGTACCCTCCCCCTTTGTAACAATCTTGAGACAGGGTCTGGCTAGATTGCCCAGGCTAGTCTGTAACTTGAGATCCTCCTCCCTTATCTTCCTGAGTATGTGAGATTATAGGCATGTTTCACCATGCCTAGTTCATAGGATAATTATAGAAAATCACTGTTACCCATGAACATAAAATTTAAATGAGGGGAAAAATCTATTTTTTTTCCTACTTTTCTCTATCATTTTCCTTATACCATAAAGAAAAATTCTGTCTGGTTGAGTTTTCATAATTGACTTGTTACAGAATTCTGGAGTTTTAGTGAAGGAAGTTACTTCAAGCAGTCCAGGTGATTTGGTGATTTCTATAGTGAAAGGGAAAGCCTGAGCTTAAGTATTTTATAAGAACTTCTCAGGCGACTCTGCTACTTAACCCTGGTAGACCTCCTAGTCAGTTTCTTCATTTTATTTGTAAGGAAACTGAGTACCATTTAATTTTTGTTTGGTTACAAAGTAAAAATTTAGGCACCAAAATAAGTTTTTTTTTATTCCCTAATGTGTTACCAGCATACCATATGTTTTAGTGGTGTAAGTGAGACACTTTTGTTAAACCATGATGCAAAAAAAAGGACCACCAACTCCAATTTAAATCAAATTAAAGCAAGCTTGTAATTCTAACCGGCTGGGGCTGTCTCTCCCGAAACCCATGGGAATAGAAGACAGCCCTCCAGCTCTCTAGGAGCATAGTTTTATAGCACCAAAATGTTGCAAAAGTGGGGTGTCTGGAGAACTTAACAGATAACAGGATTTTGACAAGCATAATACAAAGGCAGGTAGTAGGTTAATGGTCTAAATGGTTCAGCACTTAGGTAGTAAATTTAGATCCCAACACCAGAATTTATGAGGCACCACTAGAGTTTCAGAGACGGTTGTTACCTGGTCAGGGAAAGCCAGGCATGGGTGAGTTCAAGGCACGGGCAGGTATTCCAAGCAAGTTTAGAAATTGCAGTAATTTATAGTAAAGGCAAAAAATTAACTTTTTATGCCTTTGTGACAAGATGGCTCCCAATCTTAAGAGGGAATTAGGCTGGGTTTATCACTTTCCCTGTATTTTACAACAATAATCTTCTAACTGGAGTCTGTAGGCTCAGGGTCCCTTGAATGTATTTTCTGGAATTTTCAAATTTTAAGACAAACATTTTAACTTATGTATGATTTTAGGATTCCAAAATTAATACAAAGATATTTTGGCTCATTTTGGTGTTTGCTGCATTTTTTATTTTTTTGTTTCTTTGTTTTCGTTGTTGTTGTTGGGAGTCTGAGGAAAGAGTAGAGAGAACTTAAATGAGGGGAAAAAGTATGTAAATGTAAATGATGCATTGGAGTTAAGCGACAAGGAGATGATGTCATAGTATTGCAGCTAAATAAAGATTTTACTGTGATCATGTACATTGTGTGATGCATCAGAATCACCTGGAAGATTTTTTAAGACAGATTTCTGGGTCCCAGGCCTAGAGATTGTGATTTAGTAGTGTGGGCTGGGGCCTGAGAGTTTGCATGCCCAGCAAGTTCCTAAGTGTTACCAGTACTGCTGGTCCAGGAACCACAGTTTGAGAACCACTGAAATTAAAGGGGGGAAAAAAAAAAAGAATTGTCAGGAAAATTGGTAAAATAGGCTCATCTCAAATCAATCTGCTCTGTTGTAAGTACTGTATGAATTATGATTTTAATTTTTAGCCAAGTAGACTTAGCCAGCATAATAAATCAGTGTTAGTTTTAACTTATTTGGGTTTGTGATTTTATTTTTACATTTAATTATCTAATTTATTTTGTTTGTATAGTTATATGAGTTTGGGTATGTGTTACAATTATAATGAAAATAACTAAAGTCATATTTGAAAGTCTATAGAATTATTTTCCTCTGAAAGAAGATATTCAAGTTTGTCAAATATAATTATAGGAATTTAAATGTTTTCCTATTTTAGTTTTTCTAATTTTTCTTTTTATTATTATTTTTTACTTGTTCTAATTAGTTATACATGATAGCAGAATGCATTTCAATTCATTGTACACAAATGGAGGACAACTTGACATTTCTCTGGTTGTACACGATGTAGAGTCATACCACATGTACTCGTTTTTCTAATTCTTTTTTTTTTAAAGGAGAGAGAGAGAGAGAGAGAAGAGAGAGAGAAAATGAATCTGTTTTGTAGATGGCACAACACAATGCCTTTATTTTTATGTGGTGCTGAGAATCGAACCTGGGTCCCACTAAGTGAGCACTCTACTGCTGAGCCACAATCCCCGCCCCATTGTTTTTCTAATTCTTAAGCAATAAAAAACAATGATTTCAGTAGAATACTTTACTAGTTTGGATTAGAGGAACGTCAACCTGAATTAGAGAAAAAATCTGAACTGTATAAAAAGGAAAGGTAAATCACAGACTTTGTAATTTAATTACTGCTAACAAGGTTAAGGTTGCTAGATAGTGGATATAATACTACTCAAAGCACAGTGGTTCTTACCTCTTATTTCACATTAGAATCATACTGGAGGATTTTGAAAAATCTGTAGGTGCCAATGGTCTTTTCTTAAATAACATCTATTAAATCAGGGTTCTGTATTTTTTTAGTTTTGTTGGTGACTATGAAGCCTAAACAGAGTGAAGAAGCAGTACTTAAAGTTAACATATAAACATTTAAAGTATTCAAAAGTTTGTTGAAGGAACATTTATTTCCTTTGTATTCTTGTTACATTACTGATTCATGAGCCCTCCTATTTCACGTTCTCATCTGTAAAAAGAAAATATATGAAGATAATCTATTTTTTTAAAGAGTGAGACAGAGTGTGTGTGTGTGTGTGTGTGTGTGTGTGTGTGTGTGAGAGAGAGAGAGAGAGAGAGAGAGATTTTTAATATTTATTTTTTGGTTTTCGGCGGACACAACATCTTTGTTTGTATGTGGTGCTGAGGATTGAACCCGGGCCGCATGCATGCCAGGCGAGCGCACTACCGCTTGAGCCACATCCCCAGCCCATGAAGATAATGTATTTTTTTTTCCATTTTTTTTATTGATTGTTCAAAACATTACAGAGCTCATGATATATCATCTTTCATACATTTGACTCAATTGGGTTTTGAACTCCCCAAATACATAATACAGACTCACTTCTGTTACATACTCACATTTTTACATAATGGCATATTAGTGACTGTTGTATTCTGCTACCTTTCCTATCCCCTACTATCCCCCCTCCCCTCCCCTCCCCTCCCATCTTCCCTCTCTACTTCCTCTACTGTTGTTCAATTCTCTCCCCTTTTTTTCCCCCTCCCCCTTGCCCCTCATAACCTCTTATAATTTTGTGTATCACTGAAGGTCTCCTACCATTTCCATATGCTTTCCCTTCTCTCTCCCTTTCTCTCCCCCCATTCGTCTTAGTTTACTGTTAGTCTTTTCCTCATGCTCTTCCTTCCTGTTCTATTCTTAGTGGCTCTCTTTATATCAAAGAAGACATTTGACATTTGTTTTTTAGGGCTTGGCTAGCTTCACTTAGCATAATCTGCTCTAATGCCATCCATTTCCCTGCAAATTCTATGATTTTGTCATTTCTTAGTGCTGCATAATACTCCATTGTGTATAGCTGCCACAATTTTTTTATCCACTCATCTATTGAAGGGCATCTAGGTTGGTTCCACAGTCTAGCTATTGCGAATTGTGCTGCTATAATCATTGATGTGGCCGTATCAGTATAGTGCGCTCTTTTAAGGTCCTCAGGGAATAGTCCGAGAAGGGCAATAGCTGGGTCAAATGGTGGATCCATTCCCAGCTTTCCCAGGAATCTCCATACTGCTTTCCAAATTGGCCTCACCATTTTGCAGTCCCACCAGCAGTGTACAAGTGTGCCCTTTTCCCCACATCCTCGCCAACATTTATTGTTGTTTGACTTCTTAATGGCTGCCAATCTTACTGGAGTGAAATGGTAGAAGATAATGTATTTTTTTTTTTAAAGAGAGAATTTTTAATATTTATTTTTTAGTAATCGGCGGACACAACATCTTTGTTGGTATGTGGTGCTGAGGATCGAACCCGGGCCGCACGCATGCCAGGCGAGCGCACTACCGCTTGAGCCACATCCCCAGCCCAGATAATGTATTTTTAAAAGTAATTCTTTTGTGATTTTATGAGGAATTAAACCAGATAATGCATGCAAATTTAGAACAGACTCTGGTATATAATAGGTTCTCAATTAAAATTTGGGGGGGGGTTATTTTTAGTGGAAACTAGAATTAAATTATTCTGAGCTCTCTCTTTTCTCCAAATTCACCATAACATCTTGACTTTTTATTTTTTTGTACTGGGGATTTAACCCAGGGTACTTTACCACTGAGTCACCAACCCAGTCCTTTCTATTTTTTATTTTGATTCAGGGTCTTACTAAGTTGCTTAGAGCACTGCTAAGTTGCTGAGGCTGGCTTAGAACTTGTGATCCTCCTCCCTCAACCTCCAGAATTATTGGGATTGATCCTCCTCCCTAAGTTTCCAGATTTGTTGGATTATAGGCGTGTGTCACCACACCCAGCCCATGTTGGCTTTATTTACTTGCTTTTTTTTTTTTTTAATACTTTCAAAGTTAGTATATTCTATAGCAAGTAAAACAAATCACAATAACAGTAAAAATTTCTTTATATTTTATTATTTGGAAAATGAAAACATTTTACATTTTGTTATTTATTTTGGGCACCAGGAATTGAACCTTGGGGCACTTAACCACTGAGCCACACCTCTATCCCTTTTTGGTATTTTAGTTAGAGACAGGGATTTGCTGTGTTGCTTGGGGCCTCATTAAGTTGCTGAGGCTTCCTTTGAACTTGCAGTCCTCCTGCCTTAGCCTCCCAAGCCACTGGGATTACAGGTGTGTGCCACCAAACCCAGCTGCATATATTTTGTTATTTTTGACAATAGTTAAATGATTGAATAAATATTGGCACCTATTAAAATGTAAGTTTTGTACTGTAATTAAATTGTTTAAATTCCTTCATGGTTTATTGAAAGCTAATGTTTTTAGGAATGTTTTCTGTGACTTCTTTTTTCTTTCTAGTAATAGAGTTGGTACTCAGTAAAAACTGAATTTTGAATGCTTTTTATAAAAGAAACCCAAATCTAGTTTATAGCCATTAATAATCTCAGGACCACTAATAATTAAAGAGACAAGTTTGAACATGTAAGGTAGTATTTGGTATAACCCATTATGTTTATAAAACAGTTTCAAACACATATTCTTATTTGATCATTGGATCCATGAAGATAAAGGAAACAGGTAAGGGCAATATAAAGAAAAAAACATCTTAAGGGGCTAGGGATATAGCTCAGTTGGTAGAGTGCTTGCCTAGCATGCACAAGGCCCTGGGTTCAATCCCTAGCACCACCCAAAAAAAAAAAAAAAAAGAAGAAACATCTTAATGCTTTAGGCACTAATAAAGAAACTTAATTGAGAATAGTTTTCTGAAATATAATGTGCTTTAAAAAATCTCTTTCCTAATTTCTTACCTCCGAATAAGCCCCAAATTTAAAAAGTTTTGTCTTTCTTATATCCAGAGATAACTAAAAAATGTCTCTTACTAAACATTGGAAAATATCTCCTAGGGTGCACAATTGGTCCAAGTCGAGAATCACTAACACACCTTGCCTGCTCCTCCCTTCCTATGGTAGTTATTTTGATACTTAACTTCTCCTGCATCCTTTATGTCTAATTCATTACTGTTTCTACCTGAAAGTATAATTAAGTATGTTCATTTCTTTCCAGATTCACATTACTATGCTGATCTTGCTGTTCCCATTACCTTTCAATTTAGTTTATCACATTAGTTGAAGTGAATATATTTATTCATTTATATTTGTATTTTAATTATGTAAATATTTTATATTATATTTATTTATATTTTTGCCTTGTACATGCTACCAAGTGAGCTATATCCCCAGCCTCTTAAGATGTTTTTTCTTTATACCTGTTTCCTTTATCTTCATGGATCCAATGATCAAATAAGAATATGTGTTTGAAACTTTTATAAACCTAATGAGTTATGTCATTATATTTATATTTATAAATATAAATTAGTTCTTCTTACTATCCTACTTAAAACATCCTCATAACATTCTATTACACTTAAGGAAAACTATCAGACTTGTTTGTTTTTTTTTTTTTCAAATTTCCCTGAAGTACAGGGGATTGAACACAAGGATTCTTGAGCATACTAAGCAAGCTGTCTTTCAATGAGCTATACCCTGTCTCTACAAAACTTTTATGTCAACTCAGAGGCTCTGTATAAACTATTCCCTGTCTCTAGACTTACCTAATGCTTTCCCCTTTGTATTCCTCTTAGATAATTTAAAGACAAGAGTGGTCAAATATCAACTGTGTTATCTAATGTGCAAAATTATTAAAGTTATTAATGTGCATAATATTTGCTTAAATTTTATTATTTTTTCAGGTGTTATGAATGTGATGAAAAATTATCAACGCATTGTAATAAGAAGGTTTTGGCTCAGATAGTTGATTTTCTCCAGAAACATGTTTCTAAAACACAAACAAGTAAGTTAAGCAATTCCTAAAGGAATGTGTATTAAAATATGATATTTCATATTTCATATAAAAAGTTTGTAAATTCATAAAGATACCATAAGATTTCACTGTGACATCTCAGCCTGTAATTTGCGTAAAGATGTTATGTCATACATGTCATACATGGCAAGCTCATAATGTTACTTTTTTTTTTTTTTTTTTAAATTAGGGATTGAACTCGGGGCCTCATGCATGCTAGGCAAGCACTTTACCTCTGAGCTACATTCCCAGCTCTTATGTTATCTTGTGATGTGTTTATATAACCAATCTGAAAGGCTTATGGGTTTTTAAATCAGACAGACCTGAGTTCGGGCTCCTCAACTTATTGATTCTGTGGCTTTTACTCTTTAGTTTTCTTACTACAAGAATTGAATGATAATTCTGTTTTATGGGGTTGTTTTGAAGCCTAGAGATAATATTTGGTAAAGATCTAGAAATAATGTATAAAAACACTTTCATAGTGCTTGATACACACTTATGAAATGGTATCTTATTATTTGCTATGTAATTGCAGTGCAATTCTGATACAAACCATCTAGAGTTAGGCTAGACTTTTGCTAGAGGCTCAAGTTGCCCATAAGACTGTCCTCACTTCAGACACTAGAAAGCTCAAGGGTTTCCAGGTCATTGCATTTCTAACTAGCTACAAATTGGGGGTTTTTGCACTAGTTCTTAAGATTTAATAATTGTAACTGCAGTTTTATTATAGCAAAAAAATTTCAGCCAAATGAGACTTAGGCCAAGGTTTTAGAGGGTCACAAATATGAAGCTTCTCTGTCCATTCTACAAAGAATGAGGATTCCGCCTCTCTCCACATATACACAACCCCAAACCCGCTTCTGTAACAATGTGCAGAATTTTGTTAACCAAGGAAAAATCACTGAAGCTTTGGTGTTAAGTTTTCTGGGATTTCATTATTTAGGCATAATTGATTGAGTCACTGGCCACTTTGATTTAATTCAATATCTTGTACCCCAGCTAGCTAGCTAATCATGTTCCATTTTTTTCTGGCAGGGACAGGCCCCATCCTGAGTCATCTCTTTAGCATAAACTGTCTGGGTGACTTTAATGAGTCACTCTGTTAACAGAAACCATTAACTGCAGTCTCAGCCCCCCCACCCCCCCAGAATAACTAGCACCCTTTTCACTGTTGGAAATTCCAAGGATTTAAAGGGTACTTGCCAGGAAACTGGAACAAAGACCTGCCAATAATGTATTAGCATATACTTTGTTACTTATATTACTGTTACCTAACATAAAATTAATATATAAGTTCATATAAATTAAGAGCATTGGGTCTGGGGTTGGGGCTATGGTTCAGTGGTAGGGTGTTTGCCTAGCACATGTGAGGCACTAGGTTTGATCCTCAACACCTCATAGAAATAAATAAATAAATAAAGATATTCTGTCCATCTATAACTAATAAATAAATAAATAAAGTATTTAGAGAACCAGTTTTTTTTTTCCCATCTGAAAATAATGCCTCCAACCTGCCAGGCATTATACTTATTAAGCATTTAGTAGTGAAAGAAAAATAGTCTTATTTTCCAATCTTGGGGTTTAGAGTATAGTGAGGGAAACAAAAAATAAACAAATATATAACTTCTGGTAAAGCTGCAATGAAAAGGTTGCAGAGACATGTAGTAAACCACTAGTCACAATGATCAGGAGAGACCAATATGACTGAAATGTAGTTTATTGGGAGAGAATAGAATGAGTTGAAGTTATGAGGTAGGGGGTCTGATCATACTGTTACGAATTCCATGATGAAGAGTATAATATAAGTTATTAAAGTATTCTAAGCAGGAAAGCATTACAGTCATTTTACTCCCCTTTCCCCCACTCAGCTACATTCAAAAAACCCACATGTGGTGGCAGGAGGATCATAAGTTTAAGGCTAGCCTCAGCAGACTTAGCATGACTGTCTCAAAATGAAATCGACTGGGGATGTAGTTCAGTGTTAGAGTGCCTCTGGTTCAATCCTCCTCTTACCAGAAAAGTAAAGAAAACTGATTTTCTATGGAGATAGACTATAAGGGATTGAGTGGGGCTGCGGGGTGTTTCAGTCAGCGTTTTCATTGCTGTGACTTAAAGACTGGACCAAAACAACTGTAGAGGAGGAAAAGTTTATTTAGGGGCTCAAGATTTCAGAGGTCTTAGTGCATAGAAGGCTGGCTCCATTCCTTGGGGCTGGAGGTGAGGCAGAACACCATGGCAGAAGGGTGTAGTAGAGGGAAGCAGTTCATGTGATGGTTAGAAAGCAAGGAGAGATCTCTACTCTTTAGATACAAGATATATACCCCCTAGCCACACCCCCAATAAACTACTTTCTTCAGCCACACCCCACCTGTCTCCAGTTACCACCTTGTTAATCCCATCAGGGATTAATTTACTAATTAGGTAAAGACTCTGACCCTATCATTTCTCCTCTAAACCTCTTGAATTGTTCTCACCTGTGAGCTTTTGGGGGACACCTCATATCCAAACCATAACAGGTGGGGAGATCATTAAGAAGGTTAAAGGAGGCTATGTAATAGGGCAAGCGAAAGACTAGTAGAAGCTGTGGTGGAAAGTGGGTGGGTTAGATATAGTGAATGAGGGAAAGTGAGAATTAAGTCCAAACCTAGGGATCTTGATTGAGCAATTAGGTAAGAGGGAGTGAGTGAACATGGTAAGCATGAGATCCCTTTGAAGTAAACTGAACTGAAACTGAAAAGTTATGTAGAAATATGGTTGCCCAAAAGGAAAAATACTGTTGCCAGTTATATCTCCTGTGTATCTCCGATAATACAGTTGTTTCTGTTGAAAAGTTCAGAAGTAGAGTGATACTTAGTTGGGAGTTCAGTTTCCAGAAGTTCTAGAGCAAAAAATGTTCAGTTGAAAAGCTATGTATCACTGTAATGAAACAGTAATGGTGAAGAAATTGGAGAAACTAGAAGTAAACTCAGGCTCTTGGACAACAAAAGAAATGATGAATTTTACCACGCATTTGTTAACTAAATTCAACAAACACTCATTGGATTTTTCCTTTTGCTCAGACATGCCAGTCATAAATCCATTTCTTCTCTAACAAAGGATCAGCAAAATGTAGTGAAAGATATCTCGTTATTTTATTTTTTGTGGTATGGGTGATTGAACCCTGCACTGTAACCATGCGAGGCAAGCATTCTACCCGTGAGCTCCATTCCCAACTCTTTTTGTTTTATTTTGAGTCAGGGTCTCACTAAGTTGCTCAAGGTGGTCTCCAATTTATGATCCTCTTACTTCAGCCTCCCAAGCCTTTGGGATTACATGCATGTGTCACCATCTCCCGCTGGTGAAAACATTTAATACTTTAGAAAATGAAGTTGGTTGATATTCAAAGCTCTTCAGATATTCAAAGATGCACATAATGTTCAGTTGAAAAGGAAAGGAATTACAAGTGATTTGGCTTTCAAGCTCACCCTCAAAGGATGAATTTTGGGCAGAGGAAGAGGGGAGAATAAATCACTTTAGGTGGTGGGAAGCACTAATGGAAGGCTTAATTGTGTTTGTGGAACCATGAGTAGCACCTGGTAAATAGTGCTTGAGGAAGTTTGAAGGCATTCAGAGGTAGAGTGATACTTAGTTGGGAGTTCAGTTTCCAGAAGTTCTAGAGCAAAATGTTTTCAACTTTTTGGATCAAGCTACAGAATCTCTCAGGCAAGTTTGATTTAAATAGGATCTCTTGGTTGGAAGTTTAGAAGTTTTGAGGGTTAGTAATCTGCCGTATTTGGATACAAAGCTTTATTTTTATAAAATACTTTGAAAATCAAATATGAATGTTGCTATCTAGGCTTGTAAGAATACTGATATGATTTTGCAGTTATTTTTAAGTGATGATTGCAAAGACTCTAGAGATGTAAAAATGCCTATATGTCATAATTCAAAGGAATGTGAAACTAATATTATATCTGGGTGGGAGAGTAACAATGATTTTTAAAATATTATTTTTATATTTTTGCACTAAGTAAAAATAACTCAGGTGGAAGAAAGCCTGTATCTGTACCTTACACATATTTTTATGTTATTTAGTGCCTGCACTAATTCCATTTAGAATATGTCTACTATAGCTTATCTACACACACAATCTGGGCTAGTACCCCATCCATCTCTAAAAATAAGTAGCTTATGGAATCATTTAAATTTTGCTCTCAGTACCACTTGAGTCTCTTAAAAAATTACTGATAATTCAAGGAATCTTTGTTATGTAGGTTATATCTGTCAGTGTTTATCATGATAGAAGTTAAAAACAGTTTTTTTTAACCATCAAATATTCGGATTTTTATAATCAGAAACTGTGAAAGTTTGTAAATTGAAAGTTTGTCAGTAGAGAAATTTCTGTGCTTGTAAAACAAAAACTTGAATATTCACTGAAAAATAATTCCATGACATGCTAACACAAACATATTTTTAGGAAAGATATTTTCAAAATGAAAAAAGAAACATTTTTATAAATATCTTCAGTGTCTAGCTTAGTAGAAAACAACTAGATTCTCATTCGATTTTGATTCAGTCATTGTGATATTGTATGTCCTGTAAGTCTCTGAAACCTGCATTGTACAATTGAGAGTGAGTGAAAGTTTTAAGAAGCAAATAACACCTTAGATTTATTAAGGAAAAGTATTTTGACCTTAAGGACCCCTGAAAGGAAAAAGGTGTCTTCCTACCCATTTGAGAACTGCTGACCTAACATTTGTCTATATTTTCCATCTTTAGCATTATTTATTTACTAACACTCAGCTTGAATCCTCCTTGAGGAAAGGATTGGGACAATGTTCTCTCCTTTGAGACACTATGTGTATACAGCACACTTCAGAATCTTGTTAACACATTGTTTATGCTGTTTAGCTTTCTTGTACATATGTGTCTTATTTTCTATCCATTCCTTAAGGATGAATATGGCTTATGTTTTTGTTTCTCAAGTGACTAGATAGTAAATACTTGCTGAA